GTGATGGACAGAGGAGATGGGGGTTGAGGGGCTGGGAGAATGGGGTGAAGGGTTAAAGAAGTACAAATTAGTAGTTGATAGATGGTACACTTTCTGACTCATTCTCAGAGGCCAATCTAACCCTGACCAAAGCCAGAAAAGACACTACAAGCAAATGTTCCTTATGAACATTGATTTTTAAAAAATCTTCAACAAAATACTAGCAAACAGAATTTAGCAGCATATGAAAAGAACAATTCACCATGACCAGATGGGATTTATTCCTGGAATGCAAGGGTGGTTCAACATGAAAATTGATCAATGTAATACACCACATCAACGAAATGAAGGGAAAAAACACATGGTCACCTCAATTGATGCAGAGAAAGCATTTGACAAAATTGAACACCTTTTTTATGATAAAAACCACTCAACTAAGTCATAATAGAAGGAAACTGCATCCATATAATATATGAAAAACCTGCAGCAAAGATAATACTCAGTGGTTAAAGACTGAAATCTTTTCGTTTAAAATCAAAAGGCACAGATGCCTACTTCACTATGTCTGGTCAATAAAATATTGGAACTTCTAATCAGAGCAATTAGGCAAGAAAAATAAAAAGGCATCCAAAATGGAAAAGGAGTAGTAAAATTATTTGTGTGCAGATAATATGCTCTTATACACAGAAAATTATAAAGACTTCACCGAAAAAAAGAAAGCTGTTAGATCTAATAAGTGAATTTACCAAAGTAGTCAGATATGAAGTCAATACACACACATACACATACAAAACCCAGTTGCATTTCTATACACAACCAATTTACAGTCTTAAAAGGGAATTACAAAAGCAATTCCACTCACCATAGCATCAAAAAGAATAAAATAAGAATTAACCAAGGATGTGAAGACTTGTATAATAAAAACTGTAAAACACTGATAAAAGAAATTAAGACATAAATAATGGAAACATCCCATGTTTATGGGTTGGAAAATGTAATGTTAAAATGTCGGTATTATCCAAAGATAGCTACAGATTCAATGCACTCTTCATCAAAAAAAGCAATGATGGTTTTTTGCAGAAATAGAAAAACCCATCCTGAAATTAATATGAAGTCTCAAAGGACTCCAGATGCCCCCCCGCCCCCAACACACACACACAAAAACCTTGGGGAAAAAAAGAGAAAAATTAGAGGACTCACAATTCTTGATTTCAAAACTTACTATAAAGCTACAGTAATAAAAATAAAAAGTGTGGTATTGGCATGAAAACAGACATATAGATCAGTGAGATAGACTAGAGCCCTAAAATAAACCCTCACAAATGGATTTTTGACAAAAATGCCAAGACCATTCCACGAGGAAAGCACGGTCTTTTCAAAAAAGTACCGGGAAAACTGGGTATACACATGCAAAAAAGTTGGACCCTTCCTAACACCATATACAAAAATTAGCTTAAAAATGAATCAAAGACCTAAATTAAGACCTACAACAATAAAATTCTTAGAATAAAACATAGAGCAACAGCTTCTTGACATTAGATTTGGCAATGATTTCTTGGCACAGATAACAAAAATAAACAGACAAATTGGCTTTATGAAAAATTTAAAATTTTGTATATCAAAAGACACTATCTGCAAAGAAAAAGGCAGCCCACATGATAAGAGAAAATATATGCAAATCATATATCTGATAAGAAATTAACATCCAGAATATCTAGAGAACTTTTAAATCTCAACAACAAAACAGCAATCTGATTCAATGGATTTGAAAAGACATTTTTTCAAAGATGTACAAATCGGCAAAAAGCACATGGAAAGACATCAACATCACTAATCATTAGGGAAATGCAAGTCAACACTACAATGAGATATCATCTCACATCTGTTAGGATGGCTACCATTAAAAAAAAGAAAAAAACAGAAAACATGGCTTTTTAGGAAACATGGAAGAACAGATCAATGCTGTGCTTACCTCCTCCCACAACCACATCGAAATTACAAACAAATTATAAAACAACCACGCTTGAGAACCACTTGAAGAATGGCTGAACAGAACTACAGCTAAAGATAAAAAGAAGAATGGTAGGAGGGGCAGAGATGTGAAACAGGCTGGTCCTATACCCCCTGTTTGGTGGTTAAGGAGCAGGAGGGATATCTTGGCTGCGGAGGTCCCCCCCGTGAGGTGTGAGGGGTCTGGCCCAACACCAGTGCTGGGAAGAGGAGTTCCCATAACTGTGAAAATCATTGGGATTCCATCCAGGTGAGATGGAGGACTGCCGTAGACCTAGAAGATAATCACCAATGATACATCCCTTAAGCCTTAAGAAGTTAACATCCAAAATATATAAAGAGCTCATATAACTTAACACTAAAAAAAACAAAACAAAAAAAAAACCAATATGAATAAAGAAGTGGTTGTACATATATTGTTTTGTCAAACAGAGAAAGACAAATACAATATGATTTTACTTATATGTGGAATCTAAAGAACAAAATAAAAGAACAAACCAAACAGAAACAAACTAATAGATACAGAGAACAAACCGATGGTTGCCAGATGGGAAGGGGTTTGGGGGGGCTAGGTGAAAAATATAAAGAGATTAAGAAATACAAATTGGTAGTTACAAAGTAGTCACAAGTATGTAAAGTATAGCAGAGGAAATATAGTCAATAATATTGTAATAACTATGTATGGTTTCAGGTGGCACTAGACTTACCAAGGGGATCACTTTGTAAACTATATAAACATCTAACACTATGCTGTACACCTGAAACTAATATAATATTGAATGTCAACTGTAATTCAAAAAAAATTTTTTTAAAGCAATAATAAACATCATGATACAAAGTAGTGAACTTCCCAGGATAAAGCAGCTGGGTTCAATAATGACCTGCTCCGACGAAGAGGAGTCGGAGAGGCTAGAAGAAGATCTCAAACTGCACCAGAATAGACACCACTCTCTTGTTAATAATTGCTTAAGGATTATCACCAGTGTCTCAGTGAGGAAATGAATGACAAGATCACATGGCTCATCAATAATTCCACTGCCTGTCAAGCACGGTCATTTAGATCGTTAGGTCACTGCACTGACTGCACCTTAGAAACACTGGGGAAGGAAGATTTTTAAAAATGACTTTTTTGATAAATTTTATTTTTTAATTTTGTTTTTTGTTGTTATTGTTATGGTAAATACACATGACATATAATTTACCATATTCACCAGAACAAATCATAACAAAACAAAAAAACAGAAAACAAGTGTTGGCAAGAATGTGGATAAATGGAAACCCTTGCGCACTGTTGGTGGAAATGTAAAATGGTATAGCTACTGTGGAAAACAGTATGAAGGTTTCTCAAAAAATTAAAAATAGAATTACCATATGATCCAGTAATCCCACTTCTGGGTGTATAACCAAAAGATTTGAAAGTAGAGTCTCAAAGAGATATATGTACACTGATGTTAATAGCATTATTCACAATAGTCAAATGTGGAAGCAACCCAAGTGTTCATCAACTGATGAATGGATAAGCAAAAAGTGGTATATACATATAAAGGAATATTATTCAGCCTTAAAAAGGAAGAAAATTCTGTAATATGCTATAGCATGAATGAATCTTGAGTACATTATGCTGTGACATATGTCAGTCAAAAAAGACAAATACATATAATTTCACTTATATGAAATACTTAAGTCAAAATTATAGAATCAGAAAGTAGAATGGTGGTTATTAGGGACTTGGGGGAAAGGGAGAATGGGAATTTATTGTGTAATAGGTATACAATTTGTTTCACAAGATGAAAGTGTTATGTGGATGGATGGTGGAGATGGCTGCACAACAATATGAATGTATTCAATGCCACTGAATTTTATATTTACAAATGGTTGAGATGGCAAATTTGATGGTATACGTACTTTAACACAATTTTTAAAAATAATGACACCAGGGAATGGCCAGTTCTCTGTGGTATGTAAGTTTAAGCTGATTTAGTGATCATGGACAGTCTTGTCAAAGTTAATGTTTAGAGTTGATGGCGAAAAGATGGCACTAATTTATTCCAAAGATATCTACTGAGTGTTGGACAAAATCCAACATCCATTTACGATAAAAACTCCCAGCAAAGTGGGAATAGAGGGAACATACCTCAACATAGTAAATGCCATATATGACAAAACTATAGCTAACGTCAACCTCAATGGGGAAAGGCTAAAGCGTTTTCCTTAAGATCAGGAACAAGACAAGGATGCCCACTTCCACCACTTCTGTTCAACAGAGTATTGGAAGTCCTAGCCACAGCAGTCAGACAAGAAAGAGAAATAAAAGACATCCAAATTGAAAAGGAAGAAGTAAAACTGTCATTATTTGCAGATGACATTATGTAGAGATGATATTATGTAGAGAGAACCCTAAAGATTCCACCAAAAAACCGTTAGAACCGGTAAGTGAAATCAGTAAAGTAGCAGGATACAAAATTAATATTCAGAAGTAGGTTGCATTTTTAGACACCAGTGATGAACTATCAGAAAGAGTAATTAGGAACACAATCCCATCTAAAATACCCAGGAATCAAATTAGCCAAGGAGGTAAAAAATCCTGTTCTCAGAAAATTATAAGTCATTGGAAAAAGAAATAGAAGAAGATACAAATAAATGGAAGCACACACCGTACTGATGGGTAGGAAGAATCGACATTATTAAAATGTCCATACTACCCAAAGCAGTCTATAGATTCAATGCAATCTCTATCAAAGTACCAATGGTAGTTTTTAGAGAACTAAAACGAATAATCCTAAAATGTATATGGAACTATAAAAGACCCCAAAGAGCCATGGCGATTTAGAGAAAGAAGAACAAAATCTGAGGTACTCGGTATCAAACTATACTACAAGGCTACAGTAATCCAAACAGCATGGTACTGGCATAAAAACAGACATACAGATCAATGGAACAGAATAGAGCCCAGAAATAAATCCATGCCTATATGGTTATTTAATCTATGACAAAGTAGGCAAGAATATACAATGGGGTAAAGACAGTTTTTTCGATAAGTAGTACTGGGAAAACTGGACAGATACGTGCAAAAAAAAAAAAGACTGCTTTCTTATACCATATACAAAAATAAACTTAAAATGGATTAAAAATGAATATAAGACCCGAAACCATAGATCTCCTAGAAGAAAACATAGGCAGTAAACTCTCTGAATCAATTATAATTCAAAAACAATTTTTAAAAGTGAAACTACATTGCTCTTATTAATATTTTTTTGGAGATGTCTCTTTGGGCAAGGGAAATAAAAAAAGAATTGGACTACATCAAACTAAAAAGTTTTTCATAGCAAAGGAAACCATCAACAAAATGAAAAAACAACCTACTAAATGGGAGAGTATATTTTCCAATGATATATCCAATAAGAGATTAATGTTCAAAATTTATAGGGAACTCATACACTTTAACACTAAAAAAACAATCTGATTAAAAATGGAGGACCTAAATGGATATTTTTCTC